ATTTTTGTCGGCATCAAAGCCACTGAATGAAAATGCTCACCTGCCATGACTTCTCGTCAAAAACAACTGCTCATGAAAGTGATCAACATAACACCTAATGGTCACTGGCGTCCAATCTGCTGATTCTATGTTGGTTGTGACCCCAATTGTATCGTTTCTCTGCCCTTTCAAACGCCTACCGTTATCCCGATTCAGGCCCTCTCTTGACTCCATCGTGTCTGATTCCTAATCAAACATGAACATGGGTTTCATTCCTCCGTTCCACGTTATTCCTCGAAATTTTCCCGACACCATTCTGTATCCATACCTTGTGAACACTAATCACCCTTTCTCGCCGTTCCTACTGTCAAACATTCACCTATGAACATAACTGGTACTTTGACCAGTGCTGAAACGATAGTTTGCTATCCAAGCCGTTATTCGACCCGGTGAACGACTGGCTTATTCGAAAACACAGCAGCAGTTGTGGCAGTCGACAAAGGCGCCATGCCGTAGTAGCTGCATTGACTGATGGCTAACTAAAAATGCTGAGCTAGTTGCGATGTGTGATTTCGTTATTAAGCTTATTTCGCGACTGATTTGTGACCAAATCCAATTATCGGTATTTACCCCTCGGAAAATGCCATTTTACCCCCTTGGGGGTAATTACCCCCAGGTTGAGAAACCCTGCTCTAGATCAAAACTCTGTGCGCTCATCTCAACAATAGAACCAATGCCTACTGCGACATACCCGCGCTGTTATCTAACACGACAAGACGCACGCTTTACGAAGACGAGGAGAAAGCGTATATGGTTGTCCGACAGTACTCCTCTGTACACTCGCCACAAGCGCAGTCGACCACCATACATGACTAGAAAGAGAAACAAAACAAGTGTTCACGATTAATTCTTCGTCAGGTTTGTACTGTATAGAAGTTACTGAATTCAGGCTGGACACAGTGTTGAAACTTTTACTTGAACCAACCCCGAACTCCTCACCCTGCGCTGACGGCTTGCATGCGCTTTTCTTCCAGACATTGGCTGACGATGTTGCCTCACACAACTGCCAAGTCTTGCCGCTGCCTTTGTAGGCTTATCGTTCACCCATCGACTGTAATGCCTAAGTACAAAGGAGGAAATCGCCAAGACCCTGTGAAATATCGTCCAAGCAGCTTGACATCCATCGTATGTAAAGTCATGGAAAAAAGTCATCCACAGCTTTCTACAGAAGCTTTACGACGAAAATAACACCACTTCATCCACCCCACATGGCTTCCAGTAGAGACACTTCTGCTCCACCTACCTAATGGCGGCAAGAAAAAAGTGGGCGAGGTCAAGTGACTCCGGGCAACACTGGGATGTTGTTTTCGTCAATTTAGCGAAGCGTTCGACAAAGTCCAACACCAGCGACTACTTTGGAAGCTAATGGAAAGCGGTAGTAGTGGCAACCTCTACTCGTGGACTACCTACTTCCTGGAAGGTCGGACCATGCAAGTGAGAATGAACGAGAAGTGGGCCAAACCAGTGTTCATAACAAACAGATTTCGACAAGGGTCTGTCCTTGTACAAAAACTGTTCAACCTGTATACCAACGCTCAACATACAACACTTCAAACCAAATGTTTGATTTATGCCGATGACCCCAAGCTGTGTTCTGAAGTACCTGACCTTATCGCCGCTGACTAACAACAGGTGACCCTTGATCTATTGCCTAACTAGTCCATCAAGCAGGGCATACCAATAAACTACGAAAAATGCTGCACCCTACCGATTGGGACTTCTGAGCCACTTGGCAATCACCACATTAGTGGCTTGCTTTTAAACACGGGAGACAGATTTAAATGTCATATTAGCACCTGTTCTAAAAACCACACAGAATACATCGAAAAAGGTTGACGCTGCAGGTAGGATGTGCTGTACCATAAAAAGATCCTTCTCTCGAATCCCACTGAAGAACTTCAGACGTTTGTTCACCTCCAATGTACGACTGCCTCTAGGGCATGTGCCGCCAGCTACATTTGCACTAAGTTTGAATGTGCCTTAATAAAAGATGCTGGTGCTAAGCACTAAGTCCGTTTCCGGGCTTTTTGATCTTTCCTATTACCTCCGGGTTCAGGAGATAAATCCGTTTTCGACGGAATACCGTCGCTGCCGTGGAGGCCTCATCCGTTCGAGGTGCATACTAAGAGGGAAAGTTGGAAACGAGCTACAGCAGCTTTTACAACCCAGCACGACTGTTGTTGAGGCAACGATGGAGGAAAGTTTTAAGCGGCACTTAGATACTCATATGCGCAAGACACTAAGGTGATTGCTGCGGTGCCCTGACGGCTGCCGGGTCATGTAGATATACCTGCTCTTAGTGCTGAACTGAACGTACTGAGGTTAACATGGGTCCTTCCTTCTGCCCTCTAAAATGCAATGAACCGGTTTGCTACAGATCATTCGATCGAAATAGTACTGCCGTCTAGTGAACCGTGGAATATACCGTTGAGTAAGCTCCATGATAGGTAGTTCTTGAATAGCGTACGTAGTTATGGCTTTAGCTAAAATCAAACTTCAACACCCCATAATCGTGTTTTTTACTTTCAGCCACCAACTGCTTCCTTCTGGGTACATGCCAGTGATGCGCAATCAGCTGGTGAGCAGAAAGCTATCATTTGCGAAGAGAATTGACGCAAGCATCGTGTTTATTCTGATCTTCATTCTAAGACTTTCAGTGATGGAAAACCAAACATCTTGTGCTGCTTTGTAAACTGCACCTCGATTTCACAATGCACTGGGAGAAGTTGAAACTAAGACCACGGTAATCAAGAGACTTCTCTAGGTGCTGGAGTAGAATACTCCCCTAAAGCTGGCACAGCACTGATTAATGAAGTGCCGCTCGTGTAGCACCGACCTGCTATTGACACTGCAGGCATGGTTGCAAACGTTGAACCGATGGAAGTCAGTGGATGTTGAAAACGTTGATTTCAGTAAAGCTTTAGATAAACGGAAACATGAGGTCCAGCCATGCAAGCTTAGGATGTGCGGTGTTGATGGCGCACTGCACAGTATATCAGTAACTTATTTATTGGGAGAAGAAGGAGGGTGAAGGTGGGTGACCACCTAACCAACTGCTACCTTTCCACGAGCGGGGTACTCCCAACGCACATTACTGGAGCTTATTTTATTTCCGATCCACCTAAATGAACTGCTAGGCCTCTTCAGTCGCACTGCGCACAGTTTACAGATGACTTGAAGAGTTGAATGGTTATTGGTGCTCCTAACACTTGTGAGATGCTTCAGCAGAACCTCCAACGCCCATCCTAGTGGTCTGCGGAAGTTGACCTGCCATTCACCGCGGCCATGTAATCTTTTATAAGCCTAGTTAAAGGTGGTACTCAGTGTGCGTGCACCTTGGCCGGCCACCCGCTGCATCCCACCAGTTCCGTAAAGGAGCTAGACGTAATCGAACGCTATCGACAACACGAACAGACTGTACTACTTTGGCACTTAGGCGTAGCTTCTGCACTTGGTCTGAGGAGCTTGTCACCCATGCTAAGACCGGTGTTTGAGTACGGCTTACCCGCTTATTGTCCAAGCGCAATGGTTGATGTGTAGAGACTAGAGCGTGTCCAGCGCCTAGCTACCAGGTTCGTCCCCAGTTAACGGGGAAGGTCATCGACTTCGTCTTGATCTCCTTATGAAGCACCGGACAATTCATCTGAGCCACTTCCCTATGTTGAGCCCGTTGCTACATGTTTACACGTCATGCAGCACCGCAGACACCGGTACAATTTAGTAATACCGGAGTTTAAGCGCATTGCTTAACTTCTATGCTTCGATCTTCGTGAAGTGAAATATTGGAACAAGGTGCCAGAGCTACTGTCAAGCGAAATCGGTGGCCGAATTTAAGAGACTCCTTGAAGCCCAAATTGCGGACCGTGAGTACAGGGAGAGTATCGCACCCGGATAAGAGGTAATGCACTTGCAGTATGCTGCCGCCGCATATGTGCCCGATCCATTTACGATGGAGCAATACAGATTTTTATAATCTCGCCCTTTATTCTCAGTATTCAATATTCTTGTAAACATAGTAAAGTTTCATACGTCGCACACATGCCCAGCGCTGCTTAATTCAGCAAAGACTGGTAAGGGGATTCAGCTACATGTAATTACTACTTATATATGTCATATGTCAGATATCCAGCGGGGACTGCTGGTGCAGGACACATGAGCGATGTTTGGTTGCCCGCGGTGTAACGCGTGCGCCGATTGCACACTCTGTAGCGATTGTGAATAATTTGCTTATTTTTCACTTTCAAGTTTACCTATTTCGCTGCAGTTGTTGTACAGCTTTGTTTTAATTAACTATATATACATACACTTGATTTCGAGCTCGTCTTCCGTGGTTCTTCCTTGGTTGCCGCTGGATTGTTGTGATTGTGCGCGTCGCTGCCTGCTCTATTCACGATCGGACTCCACATAAACGTACACTTCCGCATACCTCGCGATATACGGTCGTCCGACGCTTAGGCGCATCAGGATATTTTATATGTGAGGTAAACCTAACTGACTGAGTATTCTCCTTTGCCGGTTCCTCCATTAATATCACGAGGCCAACTGAAGCACTGAAACCCAAGCCCGGATCAAAGAAGCTTCCAAAATGGTATGTCCATGGGACTCTGCTTTGGTTCGTCACACTTGTACTTGAATTGCGCCATGTGCACTCTCTAGAGTATGTAGAAATAAGTGCCGTACAACAACAAATAAAGGTGGATTCTTAGTAACTTCACCATTTAAAATACCTAATATGCATGACAAAAAGCCGTTGTTGGCCACTTGGCAAATGTCTAACATTTGAAAGATACCCAGTTTTTGGTGAACCCGCCATTTCTGTAAAACATTTCTGTTAAAATACGTCATAACACTTTAAATAAACCAGCTTTAATTAGTTTACTTAAAGGTATTTGATGAAGTACCAGTGGTTGTTTAGTTCAGTTGTTTATTCCGTCCTTGTTTATTCGTACAGTTGTTATGACGATAACGTATCATTTTATAAACGACTCAAGGTCACCATGAGTTCAGCACCACCTGGTTTACCATTTTATCCTTTGGCCAACCCAAAGGGTACTGATTATAAATGCGAAATCTGTGGCAAACCAGCGCTACTACAATGTTCACTTTGTCGCGTCACATTTTACTGGTAATTCTGGTGAACATTTTGACTGTCTATTTAGTGGAACGGAACATCTGAAACTCGATTGGGTTGGGATTCATGAAAAAATATGTATTAAATTGATGGCTATCAGAAAGCCAGTCAGCTTCATAGCGTCCGAGGATGGTCGGCGCAAGGCTCGGGATGAGCTGCAACAGACAAACGTAAGCAAAATCGTAAATATAATAAATTCTGTCGGTTGCTTAATTGCTTTTAGGAAGCTAATTAGACGGAGCAACGGGATCGACACTAATTAGTGGTGCTAGATTAAGCTACCATCAATGTCTAGTTTATTTTTATCAATAAATGAATGTTTTATACCCGGCAGTGTGTGGTACGTCTGCGAAGATATGATCATGAAAATACGAGCAGGTATGTAGTGACCTGGAGATTCCCCCGTATGACTGTGTAAACTATTCTAAAATATTCAAATTATAGCTTTCTTATGTATTAGGGAACCATTCGGTTTGCCTGTTGGAACCTTGTTCCCATTTTGTTGGAAACACGAAAACGATCTCCGCCTTTGGCGCGCGACTCGACTGCGAACGACGCTCTGTCAACGCACTCGACGCCAACGACATTCTCCCTAGCTAGCTCTCTCTGGGTGCCCTATTTTTAGCATTAACTAACGCTTCTCCCGTCCAATAAACTTCTTCCCTAGTTTACTTTTGTGTCTTCTACCCACCGCTTTTGGTTGGCCGTTTAGTCGCGTACCGAGTTTATAGCGCACGATCTACGCGCTATAATTGGTGACCCCGAAAAATAAACTATTTTTGGTGAGTTCGGTACTAATATTTTTTTCAGATCCGGTTATTTATTCTGTCTACCTTTCTACCTTTTCTCTTTACTATTTGTGTTCACATTCACACGCTCCGGCATTATTTCACCATGAAGGTCAGTCGCCCAGATTCTGACTATCAGGTTTGTGGGTTCCGTTTCCCTCTCCCGCCTTTCCGAGAGACTAACCCTAAGGCCTGGTTTAACCAGCTGGAGTCCATTTTTTCGTTACATGTCGTTAACTCTGACAGCGTCAAATTTCACTGCGTTGTCGCCGCGCTTCCCCCGCAAGTCGTCGATGACCTCGACGACATCTTGGAACTTCGGGAACATCAGAAAAGTTACGATGAGCTTAAGGCCGTCGTCTTAAAGCGATTTGGCATATCAGACCATGCTCGCGTCACGCAGCCTCTTAATGAAACCGAGCTAGGGGATCGAAAGCCTTCGCAGTTGCTGCACAAGATGCAAGCTCTAGCTAAGCCTCTCGCTGTTGGCGACTCTTTCCTTAAAGAGATGTGGCTTCGTTGCCTGCCACGTGACATGCGCAATCCCTTGTATGCAAACGATGCGCCTCTTCCTCAGCTCGCCGATATTGCCGACCGTATTTGGGAATCCAACGCCCAAAAATCTCAGGTTCAGTCTACCTCCAGTACAGAGATAGCAGAACTAAGAGCGCAAGTATCCGCATTGACCAACCGACTAGAGAAGCTAACACAATCCGGATCCAACCGCCGAAATCGTCCCAGTAGTCGCAGTCCTCCTAGACCACGTTCGAAATCTCCCCCTAGGTCAAGCTATTGCTGGTACCACGAGCGATTTGGTCATCAGGCCAGATCGTGTTGCCCACCTTGTTCTTTCAAGCGCAACATGCAGGGAAACGGGTAGGCCAGCACGTAGGGGCGACGGACGTTGCTGGCTGCTCCAGTCGCCTTTTCTTTGTCACCGATCGCAGTACGGGAGTACGCTATCTCGTTGACACCGGCGCAGAAGTCAGCGTTATCCCACGTGATTCTAAGGATAGCGAAGAGGCGACCGGTTCATTGCGCGCAGCAAACGGCACCACCATTCGCCTGTATGGTCAACGCTCGCGCACGCTTAATTTAAACCTACGACGTTCCTTTAAATGGATCTTCCTCGTCGCAGATGTCCAGACGCCAATTCTTGGCCTTGACTTTCTGCAGCACTTCGATTTACTCGTTGACGCGAAGCAACGCTGTCTGATCGACCGTCAAACAAACCTGGCAGTTATAGGTAATTTGACCGACATAGAGTCAATCAGTCCTGTATACGCCAACCTGTCAAGCTCGCCTATCGGTCAGATGCTTAATACGAAGTTCCCGCAAGTCTTTCGTGCAATGACACCGTTTTCATCCGCCACTGAGGCCGCGAAACATTATATTGTCACGAAAGGTCCGCCTGTTTTTGCCAAAGCCAGGCGAATGACCCCTGACAAGTTGAAAATTGCTCGCGCAGAATTCGAGCACATGCTTGAACTAGGTATCGTTCACCCGTCTAACAGTCCCTGGGCGTCGCCGCTCCACATGTTGCCCAAAAAGTCAGGAGACTGGCGTCCATGTGGTGATTACCGCGTGCTCAATACCGTTACTGTTCCCGACCGATATCCGATTCCTCACATACAGGACATCACGGCAAGCCTGCGCGGCACCCGTGTGTTCTCAAAAATCGATCTGGTTCGCGCGTATCACCAGATTCCAGTCGCTGAGGAAGACATACCGAAGACTGCCGTAATCACGCCTTTTGGGCTAAACGAACTTTTGCGTATGCCGTTCGGTCTTCGCAACGCAGCCCAGACTTTTCAACGACTCATCGATTCAGTCACCCGAGGTCTAAATTTCGTCTATGCATACATCGACGATATCCTAGTTGCCAGCACCTCTGAAGAACAACACGCAGAACATCTCAAAATACTTTTCGATAGGCTGGCTGCTAATAGCATCACTGTCAACCCCGACAAATGCGTATTTCAGCAGCCTTCCATCGAATTCCTTGGCCACCATATTGATCAGTATGGCATACGGCCTCTAGACGATAGAGTCCGCGCCATCAGAGACTTTCCGGTTCCGACTACGTTAGCCGCTATTCGCCGTTTTAACGGCATGCTCAACTACTATCGACGTTTTCTTCCACACTGTGCCAATTTGCTAAGTCCACTAACCGACCTACTACGTGGACGTAAAAACGGTCAGGTGGAACTGACTGCCGCTGCTGCTGAAGCTTTTAAAGCCAGCAAAGAAGCCTTAGCTAAAGCCGTTATGCTCCATCACTTCGATCCGAACGCTCCGCTCAGTGTTGCTGTCGACGCATCGGACAGCGCCATTGGCGCCGTCCTACAGCAACATACAAATGGAGACTGGAAACCTCTTGCCTTCTACTCTAGACGCCTACAGCCTGCCGAACTTAAGTACAGCACGTTCAGTCGCGAACTGCTAGCCGTTTACGCTACCGTTCGACATTTCCGACACGTTCTTGAAGGTAACACCTTCATTATCTTCACCGATCACAAACCGCTTACCTATGCATTCCGAAATCAATCAGCTCGACACTCACCACGTGAGATTCGTCAGCTGGATTTCATTGCTCAATTCTCGACTGATATCCGACACATTTCTGGCCAACAAAACGTCGTCGCTGATGCTCTTTCAAGAGTATCTGCGATTGGTCCTGCCGGGCAGGCAATCGATTTGTCTGCTATGGCCGCCGCGCAATCAAACGACCAAACCTTTTTGGAACTTCGCGATTCTTCTTTGAAAATATCTCCGCACCCTTTGCCGTCATCTGACGGTACCATTTTATGCGACACATCTACCGGACGACCTCGACCCGTCGTTCCAGAAACTTTTCGCCGTATCGTTTTCGACACCCTCCACAATATCGCCCACCCAGGCATTAAAGCTACTGCTAAGCTTGTCTCTGAGAGATACGTTTGGCCGGGGATGCAACGCGATCTTACGCGCTGGGCACGCAGCTGTCTCACCTGTCAGCAAGCCAAGATTCAGCGGCACGTGTCCGCTCCGCTTGGTCGCTTTCCGTCCGTTTCAGCGCGATTTGCCCATGTCCATCTCGACATAGTGGGACCTCTGGCCCCATCCAAAGGAATGGTCTATATTTTGACCATGATCGATCGTTGCACCCGTTGGCCCGAAGCCGTTCCCATCCCTGACGTAGCTGCGGAAACCGTAACACGCGCTTTTGTCGAGCGCTGGGTCGCTTCACACGGCTGCCCAGCCACAGTGACTACAGACCGCGGTCCGCAATTCGAATCTACGACCTTTAACGATCTCCTTAAACTCATTGGATGCCAACGCATTCGCACGACCGCTTATCATCCGCAAGCGAACGGCATGGTGGAACGTTTCCACCGACAGTTGAAAGCCTCACTTAGCGCCGCCAATGCGCTGAGTTGGACTGAGGTGCTGCCTATGATCCTCCTTGGGATCCGATCAGCCCTAAAGGCCGATCTACGTACGTCTAGCGCTGAGTTAGTATATGGACAACCACTGCGTTTACCTGGCGATTTCTTCTCCGTTAGTCCCAGAATTACCCGTTACGACGCAAATTATGCACGTCAGCTTGCCACGAGCATGCGTCAGTACAAGCTTCCCAACGTTAGAGAACAACAACGTAAATCTTTTATTCCACAAGACCTGCAGCATTGTCCGTTCGTTTTTCTCCGCCTCGATGGTCTCCGCAGACCATTGGAGCGACCTTACGAAGGTCCCTTCAGGGTTCTGCAGCGTAAGGACCGCGTCTTTATAATCGACCGTCACGGTAAACGTGAAGCTGTTACGATTGACCGTCTCAAGGTTGCCCACGTGGAACCTGAGCTCGACGAAGACCCTTACTTGTCTTCTGACGAATCAACGCAGCCTATGATAGAAGACTCGACTGCGTCCAACATCCCTGACCCCAAGTATCACGCTCCATCCAAGCCTTCTACTTCAGCTCCGCCGCTTCCTATCGAACCAACTGCCACGTCTTCAGCAGTTCCTCCAATTTTGCGATCCGATAGGACGTCTAAGACGACGCCTTCCTCTGATTCGAACAAGTCGACTAGGTCGGGTAGACGCGTTCATTGGCCAGCGCGATTAAGGGATTAGTGTTCCTTTCACTTTCCTTATCGTTTTCCTTTTCCCTTTTGGCCAACAACGTACCAACCCCCCAAAAAGCTTTTGAAAACGCCAAAAAACCGACAAATTTTTTTGAAAACCTAAAAAGAACACAAAATGTTTTGAAAACCCAAAAAAGGACAAAACGTTTTGAAAACACAAAAAGAGCTGCGTTTTGCCTGACGCCTACCTCATCCGGTAAGTGTCACTCTTGCTTTTGCCCTCGCCTCCACCGTCACTGCTCTTGTTTCCGTTTATCT